AATTAATACCAAGTGGTGTACCAGATGCAGGAACTTGAAAGTTGGCTGATTTAAATTAAAAAATAAAATAAAATAAATATCAGCCGTCATTTTGTATTGCCAAGGAACTTAAAGATTTACTGAACATTACTTGTTTTGATCCTCCAAATTCCCCGTTCAATTTCTGGCAGAGGTTCCTGAAAATTCTTACTCTTTACGAAACCAGGTTGCATCACTACGCAGTATTGTTTTCCTGGCTGATTAAATGTACTAGCAATCAGCGGCACTGTCACCGTCAACGCATCTTTGCTAATTTTACAATCAATCCCCTTAGTTGTTTGCCATAATCTGGTTCTAAAGGAATCAAGAACCTGGAGAATGAATATATAACCTTCAGATAAAGAAACAGTATCATAGAAGGTGATGGTAATATTAGTAGCTGACGGCAAGATAAAACCATCAATACTCGGACTGGTGGTTTTAACATGAAGATTATTGTAACCATGATCTAAATAATGTTAAAATAAGTGGAGATATTATCATGAAACCCTAATATTATTTGAATAATGATCATGAACTAATCATACCTAAATCACCAAAAACCTTGGGCAATTGGTAGGTGAGTAAAGTCCAAGAGTTATTCGATTCCGGTTGAGCAAGTAAGAAGGTATTATTGTTATTCGTAATACCACTCGCGGCAAAAGTATTTGCAATCATCGGTTGCGGTAGGTCGACAAAAATTCTGTTGCCATTCTCTCCGTAAGCATAAAGATAGTATTCAGTTGACCCATTTAATAATGGCATTTTGGCATTCATCGTACAGCCACCGAAGGGCATTCCTTCTACTATCCACCTATCAAAGCCAAGGCTTACATTTGCATTTTGAAGTAAATTGAGTGTTGGAGAGTAGGATATTATTTTCCCTGACGACAGGAAGAATACTTTTAAATAATAAATACTAAGTCCGCTCCGAGTTATGGGGAATGTGCATACTAGGCCAAAGCCGCTAAAATTTATGTCGCAGAAAACGAGGCCCTCTATTAGGCTGCTGTCGAGAGATGCTTGATACAAGACAAATGGGCCTCTAGTACGAATTTTATCAGTTGGTGTCAAGAAAATTACGCATAACCTAGAAGGTGTTTTGATTGCGGTGGTTTTATTAGCGAAAAGCGGTGATGACAATGATGATGTGCGGTTAACGTAAACTATAGCGTATCCATGATCATTGGTGGATAATATGTAAGAACCGTAACTAGTGAAACCAGGAGTTTCGATAGAATCTTTTGATTGCAAGTATAACGTCCCATTGAATCTATGTGCGCAAATGGATTTTCGTTAAAAAATTAAATCTTATCAATGTCAGAAAGTAAAAATAATAGGCACAGTACGTATAATAATACTGCCATTCAGCTGCGGTTTCATTTACAGGCGCAAATCTAAGAAAATGGTACAGAAATGTGATGGTATAGGTTGGAAACCAGTGACCATGTTGATCTTTACGGGATCGACCATAGTGCGATCGTCTAATGGGATG